ATACCTGCAGTCAGGAGCCCCTCCTCCCTGCAGCACTGCCTTTGACTTGTTCAGTGAAAGCATTCCAAGACATCTTAATTTGTTACAATTTGTTGCAGCAACATCACCCTGAAGAATATAGCTTCTCAGTTGGAGATGTGCAAAAACCACCATCACTCCCCTTTGAAGGAATCTGGTTTACAAAACAGAAGTTTTTGTTGTTTTGTTTTTAATGACTCTACCAGCACTGAAAGATTCAGCAACAACTCTGGAGTTGTTATCCTTTTATTCAGAATAGAAGCCTGCTTTAAGAATAAATAAATAAATACATTTTAAAAGCCCACTTGTGAAGAGACTGTTCATTTGCAGACTCTGACTAGCAAGACCAGTGATTAGTGAGCCAGAAACAAGAAAGAAGGTCAATGGGGTGAAGCACAGGTTCCCAAGGTCAATATGGACAACAGGAAATCCCCATTTTCCAGTCAGTGTTCTCAGCTCTTGTGCTGTTTTCTGGGACTCCCACACTCATTTCGTAAGTTCAGACCTCTTCCCTTTAATAGGGCAGACAACACTGGAGCACACTAATGCACAGCACACTGTCTAGAAGAGAGGTGTCAATACTAGATGGCGAAGCATTTTTCTGTATAGGATCTGCACTGTCTGTATAGGACAATTTTCTGTATTTTCACTGTCTGTATAGGACAATTTCTGCACTGTTCTGTATAGGATTCTGCACTGTCTTTCATGCATACACTTGGTCACTCCCTTCCTTATCACAGAATCACAGGATTGTAGTGGTTGGAAGGGACCTTCAGAGGTCATCTAGTCCAGCTTCTGATAAAGCACATTCCCCAGAGTAGGTTCCACACTAAAGCATCCAAGTTGTTTTGAATTTCTCCATAGAAGGAAACTCCACAACCTCTGTGGCAATCTTCACCCACAGGGGCCTGTATACACAGTATTGTATTTCTCACCCCAAGCTTCCTGCTGAATGCTATGCCAAGTAATCCCTATGGAAAAGTCTTCTAACAGATGCTAGTTTGATGGTCATCATTTAAAACCCTTTCACTTCTAATGCACTTCTGGCTCTGGAAAAAAATGCTTTTAAAAGACAAGGTATTTAGATTGGATGGCTATCAAAAAATCAGCCCCTGACAGAATCTGAAAGACCTTCAGGTGTCCCTACTTGTCTTTCCAAACAGAAAATCACTCTTCACCTCTACCCACTGTGTTGTATTATGACACAGTAATAATATGACACTGTAATAACAACCTTCTCCAAAATTTCTCTTTTGATGATATTTGCCTCTTGTCCTAATTTCTCATTTCTCACTTATGCCCTACTCCCTCATGAGTTTGGAATCTACTGCAGCAAAAAGATATTGAGTTTAACATAGCAAAGCTTGCCAGAAATTATTCTGATGCAACAAAAATAATGTCTGCTAGAGGAAAACAAGGCAAAAAGCCTTGTTCGTGGGTTTCTACCCTAAAACCTTCTCCAAATTACCATGCTTTCATTTTTACTTTGCTGGATATGTTTGGTCAGACTATTAGGGAAACTGGGAGTTAGTTTTTCTACCTGGTCTTCATATGTTTTGGTGTTTTGTTTAAGAAAAAAAGAAGAAGGAAAGAAATTGGATTTCATTCTCCAAATGCTCATGTCTTAAGTACCTTGTACCAAAGGCATAGACAAAAGCTTCAAGGATTTCTAGTGGTACTGATTCTCTTTCTGAGGCTATTAAAATGGCTCCATTTAGTAACTGATAAAGGTGCCTTTAACACGTGTCCATAACAAGGAGTATTGTGCACTGTTACAATTGTTCAATAGATGTCCAGTCACAGACAGACAGTGCTTCAGACTCACCCTCTCTTCAGCTCAGCATAATGCATTGTCCTGTCAGGGATTAATGGAAGTGCCACTCACATTAGATGCTAATCCTGGTAGCAACTCTGTTACTCCATGAGTGCTATGGCTGCTTCTGGACACTAATACTAGAGCCAGGTGCTGCACACTGAGGAGAAGAACAATGAGAAACCAAAGTGAAGAGCACAATGCAAGAACCTATTCACAATGCAGCAAGAAGACCATGGACAAGGGAAAAGAGACATTTGAAAAGGGTCGTAAGAATAATGGAAAAGAAAGAAACACACAGAAGAAGTCAGGGAAAAAAAAAAAAAAAAAAAAGGAGAAAAGGAAAAAAAAGAAGAAAGGATCCCAAAGATTAAAGAAGAAGAAAAAAAAAGATCAAAAAACAAATAGGAAGTGAATGCACAAGATAGTAGAAATGTCTTTTCTCAGCAATGGCCAACACATAACACCATCAGAAAATCATCACTAGAAAGCTGTCCAATAATAGGGAAGAGCAGCAGAAAGAAAGGACAGAGTGTGATGGTAAGGATGGTAAGGATGGACAGTGAGGTAAGATTACAGCATGATCTTAACCCTCTGAACACTTTAAAGCATTATTGCCTTACTAAACAAAAAAATAATAATCTAATAAATAGCACTACCTCATCAGGAGTCTCCCATCTGGAGTACTGTGTCCAGGTGTGGAGCCCTCAGTACAAGAAAGACATAGAGATTTTGGAAAGGGTCCAGAAGAGGGCGACTAAGATGATCAGGGGGCTGGAGCACCTCCCCTATGGGGACAGGCTGAGGGAGTTGGGCTTGTTCAGCCTGGAGAAGAGAAGGCTGCGGGGTGACCTCATTGCAGCCTATCAATACCTGAAGGAAACCTACACCCAGGAGGGGAGTAAACTGTTCAGAAGGGCTGATAACAGCAGGACTAGGGGAAATGGTTTTAAGTTGAAGGAGGGAAGATTTAGGTTGGATGTTAGGGGGAAGTTCTTTACTAGGAGAGTGGTTAGGCCCTGGAACGGGCTGCCCAGGGAGGTTGTGGATGCCCCGTCCTTGGACGTGTTTAAGGCCAGGTTGGACGGGGTCCTGGGCAACCTGATCTGAATGTGTATGTTTGGTGGCCCTGCTAGGCAGGGGGGTTGGAACTACATGATCCTTGGGGTCCCTTCCAACCCGGGTGATTCTGTGATCAGCAATTTGTCAAACAAACATAGGCCTTTCACCTTGTATTTCAGAAGTTTTTTACAAGAGAAAGTGAAGAGAGGGAAGTAAGGGGCTATTCAGAGATGTTTATCAAACCTAAAAAGCCAGACCCTGGCAGCAGATGGTAGATGGAAAACAGGAAGATTTTGTGAAAGAATAGAACAGTATAAAAATATTGCAACGAAGGAATACATCATGACATTAGGAAATAATGAAATTTAAAGACATACAAGGAAATACTTTATACACTCTGTTGCTCTATTAATAGATAAAAATGAGGCAATGGCATAAATACAAAGGAAATGATAAAGCAAAAGCAGTCTATCATTAACAAGTTTATGCGCTCCAAAGCACATTAAGTCTAGATTTGGAAAGGGTATACTAAACAATAATGTTTTCAAATTTCTTCTGAGGGTTGGAGAAATGGAGAGTACTGATTAGCATGCCATAGGTGTCTGGTACTTTGTATTAAAAAGCTGTGGTTATGCTAAAAAGCAGATAAGCTATTAAATGAGAAAGAAATCTTTGGTTCATGATGTCAGTCTGCTGCAAATCACTAGAGGCGGATAGGGTAGGTACACCAAAAGTCAAACTGTATGCTTCTGTCACCTTCCTGCTCTTATTTATCAGGCATCTACTACGATCAGACAAGAAGAATGGGCTAGACAGGCTACATGGATCTTTGTTTTAACCTCTTTTCTATTTCTATAACCTTGTCTAGAAATCATACGTTGAGGAGATGGAAGAAAATTTATTAATGATGGTATGTTTGACAGTCACTATACTGGATTAAAAAGATCGTGGCTGGTGCCAAAGACAATGTAGGCGGCTACCTAACTAGTCACCCCAAAGACCAAACAAGCGTATATCCTGTAACCCTTCTTGAGTCCCATCAACACCAGTTAGTATTTTTATTGCTCACTTGTGTAGTGCTCCACACTTTCCCAGGCTCAGACCCACCTCTTTTACATCCTCATTTGCAAGCCTTTACTATTCCACATCAGGATCTTTCTCAAATAAGTCATAAGTGTCATTGTATTGTCCAGAAATTTTGCTGATTTTGTAAATGCATATAAATTAGATGTCAAAACACTTTTTTTTTCTTTTTTTTTCTTTTTTTTTCTTTTTTTTTCTTTTTTTCTTTTTTTTTCTTTTTTGGTGTCCAAAATAATATTCTAGGTTCAGAGCTACATGATGAATTTTCATCTCTCAGTTTTAGCCTCTTTCCCCCCCCCCCTTGTTCCTTGCATAATTCTGCCAGTGTTATTTCCTCCTGATTTGCAGTATGCTTCTGGACTTCAGTACCAAAGTAACAACAATTTATTTTCCTCTAAAGTTATTTACACCTAAGAATGCAAGTTGATCAAAGTATTAACCAGCTAGTCACAGCAATCTCAGGAAAAGACAGAATCCTTTAGCTTACTTCAGAGCAAGTGTATTACCGTAGCCTGCAACTCTTGCTATTCAAGCAATATTTTTACATGTATAAGTTTCAGCCTGTGCTGAATTTCTTACCATGCTCCCAAACTGATTTTTGTGGTAACTAGGTAAGTTAGGTTCAAACCTTTAAAGTATAAATCCATTCTCCTCTGTTACAAAGCTGCTGTCCTATGAGCCATAAGAGAGGAGCTCATCATTACTAACACCATATATTTCCCTTCAAATCCACACATAACTTTCTACAGGTTATCCATACATTTACATGAAAAAATTGCAACCACTACCAGTTTGCTTGGGCAAGATTCATTTTACAAATTCCTTAGCATAACCTTAGCTTCTGACAGCTTCAACTACATGAACAAGCACTTGATGTCCAGATGTGAACAACATGTGAGTAAGATCAAGCTTTCATTTTATTAAGTTACTTTTCCCCAACATAACTGTATTAAAACAGAGCTTCCTAGCAAGTCATTGAATCTAATTTTTAATATGCTATTTGTATGTATAAAGCAGATCTTACCTTGATCTTCTGAAGAAACTGGTGACCTGAAATGAAACAAGAAAGTTCAGTCAACCTGTGCCATGAGAAGGTCACAAACGAGTTTCAAAAGTCTCTATGGGAAATTAGATAAGGAGGAATTGAAAAATTTTATTCTTGAGCTTATTTCAAAGGAGAGATTGTAAGGTAGCTAAGAAAAAAAAAAAAAAGGAGCGGAAAGCACAGAGACCTTCTCTAGCAGCAGGTCCTGCAAATGAGTGGCCATATGGAACCACATTCATAAGGCTGTGATCTCACTGTTAAGCACTCATGCCACAAGTTTCTATAGGTACTTGGCAAAGAATTTTACTACTATTACTGTCAGAAATAGCTCATGCTACTTTTGATCCTGATCCTCCAAAGATTATCAAATGGACAATAGTTAAGTGTGGGCCAGGAAGAACCCTCACAACTAGAGGCAATGGAGGAAAGGGCAGCTTCGGAGGAACTCACAACTACTAAGGCCATTTTTATCATGAGTCAGTGTGATGTAGAGTATAAAACATTAATTGGAATTAACAAATTCATAATAATGGCACTTTCACAAAAGCAACGTAAATGGAACAAACAAAAAAAAAAATCAAGGTTAAAAAACAAAAAACAAAAAACAGTATCTGGACAGTGAAAAGCAACAAAACAGCAGCAACATGTTACAGGCCATCCTACCAATGGTTTAAACCTCTGGTAGAACTCCAAGAGCAAGGGGTTATAAAACATTAGGGACCACTCTGTGCTGATAAACAGAAGGTCCCCACTGAATCCCAGGGATGGGATTCACAGCTCCCCTTGCTAAAGATCTCACTCATCATGCTGCCAAGTACCCATGGCAAAGGAACATAAAGAGGTGTAAAGTATTGGCCTTTCATTTTTGTCTTTGCTGCAGTAGCTTGGCTCAGCAAAACTAGGCTAATTGTATAGCCAAATCTGGGCTGTGCTTTGCTTATTGAGACCCAGGTGATGACACACAGTGGATTGGAACACTGCCTTATCACCTCCCTGACCATGATTTTCAACTGCATGTATAACCTTCCCACACAGCTAACAATGAGTTTATTCCTGTAGTGAATGGACCAACTCTCACTTCCACTGCAATACATACTTAATTTTTGCATCAACGTACAAAAAAAGCCAAATTACTAAAGATTTTTAAATGTTTGTATTGCCAGCAAACAGACCAAAGTTGACATTAGAAAAGCAGCCTGAGAAGGAAGGGAAGTTAAAGTACACCAGGAACAAAGAGGGAAAGAACGTACGTATATTTAATGGAGTCAGTGGGGGCTAGAGGGAAAGCAAAGGGTTAGGAATCCTGGATTTAAAGGAATAAAGGAACTGAGGATACTCCATATCACAAGATTGAAAAGTAAGGTTGAGGGATTATATAGGACATCAGAAACAGATACTCAAATACGTGGAAGCAAATAGGAAAGATGGAAAGAAAAGGGAGGTTTCCTAACGAGGTATGCAAATCTTTATTTTTAAGAAGAGAGACATTCAAACAGAAAGAGACAAAAGAGTTACAGCACAGCTGGAGCAATGGTCACTGTGAAAGGAAAAATGCGATTGTCTAATTAAGATTCTGACTGTGCTAGAAGCCAGTGTATCTGTATGGATCAGAATTAATTAATCCACTATTGCCATTAAATTCTCTGATTGCTGCTGCACATCCTAAGCATGTATCCTGCTCTGCTGTCAGCCAAACCAGCTATGTCCTTCAACTTCATCTATGTCTGTGAAAATACTGTAAAAATTAAGGCAATTCAGAGGATTAGTAGCCATCATTAGGACTGTTCCACGACTTTCATCAGCATCAGTCCCCACCAAAAGCCCTTCTGAAAGTCAAAACTCAGCACAGCATTTCTGCAAAGGTTATACCATGTAAAAATGGCCATATCAAAAGGTGTGATTATTTAGGTTTTTAAAGATAATTTTTACATGCAAGAATCACACCAGGGTCCTCAGCTGAAGTATCTTGGCACTCCACCTATTTCTAATAAAGTATCTCACAGTAACAGCTGAATTTATTCCTTGGCTTCATTTCTTAATTGCACAGTTTCATCACCTTTTAGACTTTTATTTGAAACAATAAAATAAACATTTGGCTTATCCCATAATTTAGATCTTCGTTATGCCTTGTAAAGCAGATGTTAGTAGTTCCTTAAAAAATCAACAAGAGATGCCATCACACCACCACCACCACCTTCTCAATTAAAACATTGAAGTGTGCAATGAAAAATAGGTTTGTGTACATTTAATGCACCCCAAATTAGTATGTACTTTGCAAAGTACGAATCCCATGCTCCTTTTTTGTATGCTTTGAACTTAGTGGTTAAACAGTGAGAAATCTAACAGGAACTACTGTTGCTAATAGTGTTTTCATTTGTCAGGGTTCATCAGGCATCTTTTGAGGCTGCATAGGCTGGTATCTTGAGAAAATAAGGTTTATGTACACAAGATACTGTGACTATGTATGCATATTTCTGCCTCACACTAATAAAGTTTGAGCCTGTTGGCTGATTTCCCGCATTATTAACAGAGGAGGTAGAGATCCAATCACTGCTTTCATGAGGAAAGGCAATAGCAGGAGGTCAAACTTTCCAAGGTAGCTGTGAAGACACAAAGAAAGGTTCTAAACATCTCAGTAATAGGAAAACCTCAGCAAGAGCTTCCACATTTTGAGATACTAAAGGACTAAAGACAATAAATTAGACTTCCTTTATTCCACTACTCACAGAAAGAGTATTTTGACAGAGGAAAGGACTTTCAACAATTTTGTATAATTTCAGGCCATGCATTTAAGCAGAGGATGGAATTTTCCAAACCATTCAAGCACTGTCCTAACTACTCCAACAGGAGTCTTGCTTGTAACTACTGTGAAAGGAAATGAAGAACTGCTGACTTCATTTAAAGTCCATTTTGTTAGTGTTGGGCACTTTATGCATTGTTTGGTCTACACCATTCTTATGAGAGGGAGGAAGGAAATGAAAAAAAGAAAGCATAATGACCTACTTTAAACCACATCCACTCTCTCCACAGCCACAAGGGACTTACCTGACAACAAAAAAATCTGGTGGATGCTCATATTTCTGGTCACACATCTTTTTTCAGTTCTTTAAGAAGTGTGAGGGATATACTGTGGCAGCAATGGTCACCAAATGGGTGCCCTGAGAACGGTGGATTCCAAGCTGCTAACATCCACATAGGAAGTGTCTAACTAGCTCCTATCAGCTGCCCTCTGAGAATGATTCTAGCTATGTGCTTTACAGCCACAAAGAGGCAAGCCATCGTTCACAACTTCCGTGCCTTATAAAAAGTAGAGACAAATCAGAGGTATTTCAGAAGAACTAACATGCTGTCAAGATCTGTATCCCCACCTGGGTCAATACACTTTGCAAATTAAATCAAGAAGAGACTTCCATTTAGTTCAACCTTCAGGAAAAGGATCTGGCACTGCAATATCCTGATCTTAGACACTTCAGAATGGAACTGCTTATTTTTTTGACATCTACAACAGTTACTTTATGCTCTTCTCCTGCTGGAAAATTAACAGTGCTGCCAAAACTAACTTGTAGGTTCATCATTACCACTACTAGCCCTTCCCCAAAAGAGAGTAAAGAGGTCCATATGTCTATGACTGGCTACATTTTCAGAATTCTTATGTTTTTCTATCAGCATTGCTCTTTCCCATACACAAAAGTGAAAGGGAAACCCGATTTCAAATGCTTTCACCAAAAAGTATCAATCTGATTTCTCTGTCCTGAGTTTGCTGGTGCTTTATGAAGAGTTTTTGCTGTACTGATTAATTGAAGAGAATACAAATCTTACTGCAATAACAGGGAAGAGGATCAGAAAGAATGAGGAAGAAAGCATGTTGCCAACTTCTCATGCTGTTCATATCCCTCCTTTTGCTACATGTCCTGCAGTGTTGTTCTCCTGTTGTAGAGCATGAAGTTCTACTCAGAAGAGATATTAGCACCTGCAGGCCTCAGTCTACAGTGGAAGCTGCATGTTCCCTGGTCTACTGTGACTTACAAAAGCAAAGCACTATACTTTGTCCTTACACAAGGTGCACAAATATATTCCAGCAACTTAGCTTATGTGCAGAAAAGCCTGATAATGAAAACAGGCCCTAATCATACATTCATGAGATGCTTCCAAGAAATGGGAAGACTCATGGTACTGAAGGCATGAGACATAGTCCTCCTATAACAGCACTGTGCCTCAGAGTTCAGAGACTGATCCAAAGCTCACTGAAATTTTTCTGCTCACTCTTTCAGTGTTTAGATATATTGCTGGCAAAGGTCTAATCTCTGGTGCAGACAAGACAGTTTTCTGTATCATGAAAGCCTTCCCCAAACAGCCAAATACTAGGAGTTGTTTCCCAGTGCATTCCTTAGTATGCAAGCACTAGATTTATTCAGTACTGGAGGGGTGGAGGAAGAAATATTCATTTCTAAGCAAGGTAGGTCAGGGGGCTGTCACGATTTAGTGCCTGGTCAACAAAGGCTTCCAAAATCCAGAAAAACACAGGCAACCTCCAGCAGACAAATTCTAACAAAATTTCAGTAAATAGGTACATAATTCATGAAGACGAAAGCCTCTGGAGAAACAAACCCGGAGCTGATGTGAAGTTGCTATTTTAATCAATAAAGCTGTAGCAGAAACCATCTGCACTAGGCCTATTTAAAAACATCCATTTAGAATTTAAAGGCCAAATAACAATCCACATGCATCAATTTTGCTGGGTTTCATGACCATTTGTCTTTTTCCCAGCTCAAGCAATGTATTTTTGCAAACTTTCTCGTTCACGTACCTGCCTGTGAGCAATGGAGAGAAAGAGCTTTTAGATTAAATCTGCTTCTCCTCGTTTTGTGTGTTCATCTCTTCAGAACTAAAAACAGTGTTCCTGTAGGGATTTATTCACATATTCTCTGATTGGAATGAAAGATAAGTCTTAGCACATTAATTATTATTTTATTTTTTTTAAGGTGAGGAAATTTCCTCATTCAGC